ACTGATACTAATGAGATTAGCAGTCAGCCCTTTTACCAGCAGTACTTCATTCAGACTTGGAACTCCAGGGCAGTCCAAATCACCAACTCCTTTGATTTCACCTTTAGCACCATCTCCAAAGGTCACAAAACTGGTGGTGTGAGGCTTAACATTATTGAGGAGGTTCTTGATTCCAGTCATGTGTTTGGAACATCCACTGTCAAAGTACCAGTCTTCCTTTGCAGAGACCCTCAGGGAAGTGTGGGCTATCAGGGCAGTAGCCTTTTTCTTCCATTTAGGAGCATGTGGTACCTTTTTAGACTTAGGTTTGACACCTGAGTTCTGATTAGGGTATCCATGCAATCTGAAGCAGAAGGGCTTTATGTGGCCATATCTCCCACAATGATGACATCTCCATCTTTGGTACCTTTTCTTCATATGTCTCTGTTCCTGATGTTGAGAGTTGTGTTGAGACATCTGTTTTGACATTTGCTTATCAGGCCTGATCTTCTTATCTGTACCAGATTTCTTTGCTTCCATAAATCCTAGTCCAGATTTGTTTCCCACATTTTGTCCAACCTGGAGAATCTCTTCCAATTTATCTGTTCCATTAGACAGCATCTTGACAGATTTGGTCATTTGGTTCAGTTGTGAGTTCAGCAATTGAACTTCCCCTTCTAGATGACTTATAGTTTCAAGATCTGCCCTTTTTTCAGCCTCCAGCTTTATGATGAGTTTTGCTTGTTTCTCATTCTGCACACAGACTTCAGCACTTATGATACACAATTTCTTGTAGGTATCAGCCAGTTCTTCAAATGTCACTTCTTCATCACTAGTGTCACTTTCAGAGGTACAAACACTAGTTAGAGCAGTAACTAGTTTGGCAGATTCTTCTTCAGAATTACTTTCTGAATCACAGTCAGACCAAGTAACAGTCATTCCTTTCTTTTGTTTCTTAAGAAAGGTAGGACATTCAGCTCGAATATGCCTATATCCTTCACAGCCATGGCATTGAATACCTCTGCCTTGGTTTCCCTTCTCTTCTGACCTTGGTCTTCTGCTGGAACTGTCAATGTCAGAGGGAATGTTATGAACATTAGACCTTGACTTTGGATCTATTCTTTTGATGAGTTTGTTGAACTGTCTTCCAAGCATGGCTATAGCTTCTGAAATATTTTCTTCTTCATCCTCCTTGTTTTCAACATCAGTGTTGGATACAAGTGCTATGCTCTTGTTCTTCTTGTCACCATTATCAGTGATCCCCATCTCAAAAGTCTGAAGAGACCCAATAAGTTCATCCACTTTCAACTTGCTGATGTCCTGGGCTTCCTCTATGGCAGTTACCTTCACTGCAAATCTTTTAGGCAAGGATCTGAGAATCTTTCTCACCAATTTTTCTTCTGCCATTTTTTCTCCCAGTGCTCCTGAGGTGTTGGCAATCTCCAAGATGTTCATGTGAAAGTCATGAATGGTTTCATCTTCCATCATTTTTAGATTCTCAAACTTGGTAGTCAACATCTGAAGCCTTGACATTTTCACTTTGGAAGTGCCCTCATGGGTAGTTTTGAGAGTGTCCCAAACTTCCTTGGCCAGTTCATATTGATGTACTAGTCTGAAAATGTTTCTATCAATTCCATTGAAGAAGGCATTTAAGGCTTTGGAATTTCCCAGGGCTAACTCATCTTCTTCTTTACTCCAATCTTCCTCAGGCTTCAAACTGATTGTCCCATCTTTCTCAGTTATGGTGGGATGGATCCATCCTTTGTCAGCAGCTCTCCAAGCCTTTTTGTCCAGCGATTTTAAGAAGGCAATCATACGAGGTTTCCAGTAGTCATAATTAGTTCCATCCAGAATGGGTGGTCTATTTCCAAAAACTCCTTCTTTGTCCATAGTGCCAGAAAGTGATATCCCTAGATCTCACCCAGTAATACAGGCAGGGTGCCTGCTCTGATGCCAATTGAAATTTTGGCTGCAGATACTCAATGTCACGTTCAATGTTATGACACCGTATCTGACTTTCTATAAGACAGTAAATACAAAAACAGTAAAGAACACAGTCAATTGTTTACCCAGTTCAGTGTGCAACAACACCTACTCTGGGGGCTACCAAGCCAGGGAGGAAATCCACTATAAGAGATATTAATTCAGGAATAAACCAACCAGTTTATCTCCTTCACTTAAGACCTACCCAATGCAACTTCAATCTAAGTACAACTTAAACCTGAGTTCCTACTCACTCCCCCTTAATCACAGCAGTGATACATAAAAACAATTTGACTAATGAATTGTTGAAGACACTCTTCAAAACATACACTTGATTATACTTCACAGCTTTTTAATCAAGCAACACAAACACTCTTGCTTCACAGCTTTGAGTGATACACAAACCTAACTTGACTTTGCTTCACAGCTTTAGTCAAGAGACATACAAACACTCTTGCTTCAAAGCTTTGAGTGTTACACAACCCTAACTTGACTTTGCTTCACAGCTTTAGTCAAGAGACATACAAACACTCTTGCTTCAAAGCTTTGAGTGTTACACAACCCTTACAATTAAAACCTATTCCAAGTCACTTATCACAATGATAATTACTTGGATTACAATAGTAAAAACTATACAGCTTCTAAATGATCTTCTGTCAAAAAGGGATTCCATTCAAAACAGCAGCCTTGTTGAATATATAGCAGCTGCAACTTCAGTTAGGGTTTCCACAAAAAGCTAGGGTTAATTCCGTTTGACCTTAAGACTAGGTCACAGGACTTTATCAACCAGGTTGGGGTTGAGCTAGGTTAACCCAAAGAAAACGCAGGATTCTGTTCTGGAAAGACTGAGTCATTTTCCTGAAAAAACTCAGAATTAACCAAACTGCATACCTGTTAGTTCAGAACAGGATGTCTTAACATCTGTTATGACATCTGAAAACCTGTCTACTGATTTAGGTAAATGTGATCATTTTGCAAAATGCTCAGATACACACTTATAAACATCAGTACCTGTATGACAATATTTTTCTGCAAAGGTACCTAATGAATCAGTACATACTAAACTAGAATGTTATGACATCAGTCATGACATTCACACATACACTTGGGTTTTACCAAAAATGCAAGCCAATAACTAAACAACTACAATATTTACTTGTTTATATTGTATAACCAGATGAGAACGTAGCACCGCTGGTCAAGGCGTTGGGTTTGTAAACATAAGGGCGTAGGTTCGATCCATGCGTTTCACAATGTTTTTTTTTTGTTATTTTCCAAATTAACGCATGTTTCATATATATTATCATCCAGTCCTGTTACCAGACACCAACAGGCGCTTGGTCTAGTGGCAAGCGATGTAGCTCTAAAGCTAGAGGGCGTGGGTTCAACAGCCACCCCATGCATTCTTTTTTCTTATTTTCTCTTTTAATATAATTTGCTTTATTTTTCTTTTTCTAACCCTATTTTTTTTAATTAATCAATCATTAAACTAACTTAATTTTTTTCTAATACTAATGAATTAGATTTATGGTTTTTAAATAACAAAGATTTTAATGGGTAAGAAACTCTTAATTGTTTGCTCACAATTTTTCTCAAAACTATTTTTCACACTACACTTTCAAACAAATATTTTTAAAAATAAAACTTTGTATACATTCTTGAGCATCGATACAAGAATCATTATAAAGTCAGCCTTATATTGGCGACTTCAAAATATTTTCAAACAAACCACACGCAAAGCAAGATTTTCAAAAGTGAGCTAAGCAATTAAGAGCCTGTAGATAACTACAGATGAAAATGGTGCTAACACTTTTCCTTTTCATAACCTATCCCCCGAACTCAAAATCTATCAAAGGTCTTTCCTGTTCTTTTCACCTTTCCTAAATATTGGATAAAAGAAAAGTTGGTGGCGACTCTAGCTATCCACACATTTGGATAAAACCAAAAAGTCAGTTCTCCCACTATATTACAGACCTTATATAGAAAATAGTGAACTAAGCAAACAACGACTCAGATGAACAAATTACGAAGATGAAAAACAACAATCTGATCACACCTAGAAAACACCATGACACTCAAGTGCACTCAAGCACCATAGGGAAACACCACGCCATAACCTGTTAGCCTAAGGGTGCGTGTTAAAAATTCACGCGAAGTGTCCCAGTGATGAGAAAAGTATTTGATGCGCTTGTTCCTCACTCCCCGTCGGTCAGACACATTAATTCTCGTTCACAGTCAACTCAGTAGTATAAGATCGACATAGGTTCTATAAGACTTCATATTCAACACTTCACAATAAGCCCCGTAGAAAATTATTCTAGGTCGGCCAAAGGTCCAATAAAAAGAGGCTTATTTATTACTTGAAAGAAGGGCCAACGACTACTTTTTCATACCTCACTTTACCCTTCTTTTAAACTCGTACAATGACTAAAAAATTGAAGTGTTAATCTTACGAGTTTACCTATGTGATTCACTACGTCAGAAGCTTGCGAACACCGCATCAAGAATCTATCATCGTAATTCACACATAATTTTGATTTCGATCCGGAACAACTTCCGTGAATTACTTTTAACTACTTTTAACTAACTTAAAAACAACACATTCCAATAAAAGAAAGTGTTGTAAATAATAAGTTAATAAATGTAGATAATTTTTTAACTCCATATTTCTATAACTTTGATCACTAAATTGTTATTGGTTTTTATTATTTTTGTTGTCAACTTTATGTATCCTATAAATAAAATGTTGTAATGTGGCCATATCCCCGCTAGCGTTTTAAGTAATCTTTTCTTTGCGTAATCCGTTTCCAACTTAAGTTTGCTTCAAACTTGCACCTTCCACAGGTTCTCAAACTCAAACCTTATATATAATAAATTAATACATCATCAATCATTAACATCAATCTCTCTCTTCAACCTTGTTACACTCATGAAACAAAACATCATCCAAATTCTCAACTGTTTTCTGTTTTCTGTTTTCATATTCCTTCACTTAGTTTAAAATTTCACTTTCCCTTCTTACTTCCACCGACACACCTATGATAACCGCCGTTATTCTCTTCACCGTTACAATTCTCTCCGCGGCGGATGGTTCTTCTTCTCCGATCACTCTATCGCTTGAAAGAGCTTTTCCTACTAACCATGGAGTTGAGTTGAGTTACCTCAGAGAATTTGATAGTGTTAGACATCGCAGATTTTTGCAGTCTACTAACTATGTTGTTAATTTTCCTGTTAAAGGATCCTTTGATACCTCCAAAGCTGGGTAATTTTTTTCTTATGCTTTCTTGTTACAAGTTTGAATCACTTTCGTTATACCAACTCGCCCATATAACTTTGAAGGATGCAAGTTTTAGAGTAAAATAATAATTGATGGTCTATTTCAGGCTTTACTTTACGAAGGTGAATTTAGGTACTCCGCCAAGAGAATTTTATGTGCAGATTGACACCGGAAGTGATGTTCTTTGGGTTACCTGTGCTTCCTGCATCGGTTGTCCTCAAACAAGTGGTCTCCAAGTAAATTGCATTGTTAACTTTTGTTAATTCGGTTAATTCGGTTAATTCAATGCTATGACAATCAGATCAAGATACCTGTGGGAGTTATGAAGTTGTAACATTATTGCTGTTTTTTTTGTTTTGTTGTTGTTGTTGTTACAGATTCAGCTGAATTACTTTGACCCTAGAAGTTCGTCAACGTCTTCATTTATTTCTTGTTCTGACCAAAGGTGTAAGAACGGAGTTCAGTCATCGGATAGCAGTTGTTCGAGTCGGAACAATCAATGCACTTACATATTCGAGTATGGAGATGGTAGCGGGACATCGGGTTATTATGTGTCGGACTTGATGCATTTTGCTAGTATTTCGGAGGAATCTTTGTTGTCAAATTCATCGGCGCCTGTTGTTTTTGGGTGTAGCAACCAGCAGAGTGGGGACTTGACAAAGTCTGATAGAGCAATTGATGGTATATTTGGATTTGGGCAACAGGGCATGTCAGTAATTTCTCAGCTCTCTTCACAAGGAATAGCACCAAGAGTGTTCTCACACTGCTTGAAAGGAGATAGTAACGGTGGCGGCTTATTGGTTCTTGGTGAGATTGTGGAGCCAAACATAATTTATAGTCCACTCGTTCCGTCACAGTATGTTCTTCCATTAGAATAAAATGCTACATTTTAACTATTTTATGTATATATACTCGTTTATCATCTTAAAGCCCTGGTAAATGTGTTATTGTCAAAATTTTATTTGTATTGAAATGGCCATTTTCTTTGATTAATAAAGTTTAAACATTAAGATTAGTTCTATGTTAAATATTTCAGGCCTCATTATAATCTAAATCTGCTGAGCATCTCTGTCAGTGGCCAAGTTTTGCCGATTGATTCTGCTATTTTTGCTACATCAAACAATAGAGGTACCATTATTGATTCTGGAACAACTTTGGCATACATTGCAGAAGAGGCTTACAATCCCTTTATCAATGCGGTGAGTTTCACTTAGGTAATTTCTTTTCGTCCAATTGATCAATTATGGATATTGCTTTGATTTATCTATATATTAACGGAAATGTTGTTTTGTGTAGATTACCGCTGCCATTCCACAATCTGTGCGCACTGTTCTTTCCAGAGGAAATCAGTGTTACTTAGTTACCACCAGGTTAAAATGAAACCGTTCATATATATATTTAATGGATTATTTTATGACATAATTTCCCCGAATCAAATGCCTATAATAGACAATCTTTCTCTGCCTCTTTCTGGCTATACCGTGTTTAACAGCCTTGACATGTTTCCTCAAGTAAGTCTGAACTTTGCTGGCGCGTCTCTCGTTTTAGGACCACAGGACTACCTCATAAAGCAGAACTATATTGTAAGTATTCAAACTTCAATATCGATTTAAGAGCTACTTCATATCTCACTAGTTGAATGATATAATAAACCTGTTGGTTTTATAGGGAGATGGATCAGTTTGGTGTATCGGCTTTCAGAAAATCCCAGGGCAAGATGTAACAATTCTAGGAGGTAATTGTATAATACCAGTTTGGAAACTTTATTTTCGGTCCTACTTCAACGCTGTTTGTTTCTGTGATATACTGAAAATATACATAAAAGATGTTTTGCATTTGATTGAAGCATGTTAAACTAAAATAGCCGAATCTTCAAGATATTATCAGAAAGTTCTGATGTTAATTTATGATACTATAACAACACTATTTTTTCTGGCAGACCTTGTATTAAAAGACAAAATTTTTGTGTATGATCTTGCTGGTCAACGCATTGGATGGGCTAACTATGACTGTAAGTTTTAGCTGCGCAGCAATAAACGCACTGCACACATAGTAATCATTGGGATTTTTTCTAATATGTTCATTATAAAATGCAATATTCTAGGTTCGTTGTCGGTTAATGTTTCTGCATCAACTGGTAGCGGCAGAAGTGAGTTTGTCAGCGCGGGAGAGATAAGTGGAAGCACTTCTTTATGTGACAGAACTCACGAGTTGATAAACAGAAGATGGGTGTTTGCTCTTTTCATACACATAACACTGATATGCTGTTTTGTATTCTTGTAGCATGCGAAATCGAAACTAATTATATTATTTTTTACTTGGATTATTGTAGTGTGCCTTCTATATGCACATTAGGTTTGTTTATTGATGTAAGTTACTCTTTATCAAAACCATGTTTCTTAGAATTGTAAATTCAATGATCACATTTATTGAATCACAAATGCAAGTTATACTTCGTTCTTTCGGATGATTTGTTTTGGATTTTTTACAATCTTGGTTTCTGCATGTTGTTGTAGGATTTGGTTTCTTTTAAGAAAAGGATGAAATGTATTATTATCATTGTGCGATCATTCTAAGCATAGATGAAATGTATTAGTATCATTCTAAGAGTTTATGTAGCCAATTGGAGACCGTGTCAAACGCTGAAAGAAAAACTTAAGAATTTGAAAGGCAAATTGAGAGACGGACACATTAATTATGGGAACATTTTGGATGGTGAACTCAAAATGACTAAGGAGAGGCTCTATGTTTTAGACTTAAAAGGTGAAGAGTCTGAATTTTTTTGAATATAAGGTGGAGAGGCTAACTCATTCTTCCATTCTTTAATAAGAAACCTTCAGTTTCTTGGTCTCTAAGAAACAAATGGCTTATCTGTCAAGTTATCATTGGTCAAATGAATATTTTGGTCACTCGAGTTCGAAATTTTAACTTGACACCCTCCCACTTGAACCAGGCACCCCACAATTTTTGTTATTTCTGAAATACCCTTGCTGATTTGAGAAAAATTTCCTGACGAAATTTCCTGTAGACCAAGTGAAATTTTCGGTACATAGGTAATTTCCGATAAATCAGTACTAAAATTCTGGTATTTAACAATTTCCGACAATTCATATGAAATTTACAGTACACTAGAAATTTCAAATTTACGGGACACTACTGGAAATTTCAAATATACTGAAATTTTCGATAGTTTCATAGTTCAAGTTTTTTTTAACGATCATGATTTTTTCGACAACTTTGGAGAGTTCTGATTGCACCGACAAATTTGTGTAGTCTAGAATGCATCGCCATTTGTATAAATAGGGGCATATGTTAGAGACAAAGACATCTCAAAAAAATGTCTCTTCCACAATTTCTGATTAAGGCAGAAGTGTATTTCAATAGAAACAATTCTCATGTTGAATTCAAGCTTTCAGATGGCGCCATATCTCTCGCCAATTTGACAGACAAATTGAATGAATTGGTGCCTGATACTGATAATAGAGGGTGAGTAAGATCTAGTTTCGGGAACATTGGATTGATACAGATGGTTGGGTGAAATACAACCCGATTGAATTGAAGACCGATGAAGATGTTAAGGCCATGTGGAAATCATTTCGGTGTAGGATAACCAAGGGTCCGATCGAGTTGGATGTGCGGATAACAAGATCCATCGATGACATAATGAAGATGCTGAAATGTCCAGAATCATATGGTAGTGCCTAGATTTTCATGTTTAGTTGTTTTTAATTTATGTTTGTTGTACTGTTTTATGTTATGTTCATCTTCAAATCGAAAAATGTAAACGTCAAAATATTATGCAATAAATAAGAAGTCTTTGTGCTTCAAAATATACAAATAATACAACTAAAATATAACAGATCTACATATGCTCCCCACGGACTACGTCCGCTAACATAGCTAAACCTGTATAAATCTCACCATCAGGATTTACCAAATCCATGAAGTTGTCTAAATGAATAGCAATAAATTTTAGGTGGTTGTCCTGGTCACTTACAGGTGGTGGAGGTGGTGGTTGTGACACGTCAGAAACCCTAGAACGTGAAGGCTCTGGTACATCAGAAACCCTAGTAAGTGGTATGATCTGAGAGTGTGATATGCTCTGATACCACTCCAAGTATCTATCCTTTCACTATGCAGGATCCTGGACCATATCTGATGTATCCTGATCTCACGGGTATAATTGAAATTGTCTGAACTGTTTGAGTTAACATGTGTAATTGAATTTGTTCAACGAAATTTGTTCATCAGAGAAAATGGTCTATTTGATGAGAGTTGTGATGTGTTTGAAGTTTAGATAACTTTCTCTATCTATGTTCACTATGTTGTAATCTCCTTTGAATATCAATGAAATTTCTTATTTTTTCTTGATTGTTTCTTCTGGTTTTTATGTTTTCCACACATAATTACCTTTTTTATTATGACAAAAAGGGGGAGTAATTTAAATGAACGTAATTTTGATTTCAATAATCAAGTTCTGGAAAATGTTCTCTGAAAAGAGCTGCTTACATTCTAATCCAGTTAAACTTCTGTTTCCGTTAGAATTGTTTTTCTTTTTCAAGAAATTAGAACTCTGATTAAAAGACAAAGATCTGAAAGCACTATTCAAGACTTCAAGATGTGAAATCTTGAATCAGACTTCTAAATTGAGAATCTAGGAAGTTGTCTTAGTGACATTAAAATTTCAACTTGATTTCATTCTCGTTGGCATCTAAAGTCGAGATTCAATAAGAAGTTGTGTGAAATCAAGATCTCAACTGTTCATTTGACATCAAGATCTCAATTTGTCTATTGGCATCCAAAGTCAAGAATCTCAAGATCTCGATATCTGATCTATTGGAACCAAGGGGGAGTTTTACTCAAATGGTTTAGAGTCAGGAGATTCAATATTCATCAAGTTATTGACTCATGGGGAGTATCATAAAAAGGATATGTATTTCTTACCCTTCTAATTTCACTGATTATGATAATACGTACAAAATTGTGTCATCAAAATACATAGTTTTGTCATCATCAAAAAGGGGGAGATTGTAAGAACAAGATTTGATTTTGCAATATTAGCTCTGGGTTTTGATGATAACAAATGAGTATGATTGTATGAACAATTTTTTTGTGCTAATGTTTTTTATTGTTGAGTACTTAACAAACAGGTTCTACTTCTGATGGATGACGTGGTCAAGACATTAGAAGAGAATTAATTTTGCTTCTATGCTACACAAGTTCCGTTGAACAGTAAAAAGACACTCCAGAAGGTTCTGAAGTGTAAACTATAATGTTTGTCTAAAAGAAACTAATCAGAAGATCTGAAGACAGAAGTCTCTACTTCGTCCAGATGCTGAAGACTCAAGCTTCTAAAGACAACATGTTCCAAAGAAACAAAGTTAGAAGATCTGAAGACAAAGTTTCTAATGAAGTCCAGATGCTAAAAGCTTGTGTTTCCATTAACGAAGTTCTAAAGATAAGAGTTCTGAAGACCAAGTGCTGAAAACTCTAAAGATAAAAGTTCTAAAGATTCTAAACACTTGAAGCTCTAAAGACCCAAGGTTTTGAGGAAAGATTCTCATAATCAAGTGCTGAAGACTCTAAAGACGCAGTTCTGAAGACTCTAAAGACTTGAAGTTCTGATAACCTGATGTTATGTTCTCGCTTCCAAACTCATGCTCGCAGAAGCCTCTGAAGTGCAGAAGGAAAGAAGATAACGTTAACATGGTACAAATAGTACATGATACAATCAACGATTCATTCCACTACCATGAAAGGACAGACATGTCGCACGATCTTGTCCCCCACGTTACTGTTCAAGATGCCAATGGTTTTGAAAATTCCAAGAGTATCCCTCAATGGGTACATTATTTTAATGATTATATAAAGGCTTGAAGGCTAAGAAAGAAAGCTACCAATTCACAGAATATTCACTCGCAAACGATGTTCATAGTTTTTACATTCTTAAGTCACTGTTCATAAAATAGTTTACATACTCAGCTTTTTAGAAGAAATACTCTTGTAAATAAAACTTATATTTAAAATGGTTCTGGATATTCCTTAAGGGACTGGATAGGTGTGTATCCTTAAGAAGTCAAGAGCCTACGAGTTTTAGAAGTTGTTATTCACTTGCAGGTAGCTTATGCATTGTAATAATCAAGTTGATTATTAGCTAATGTTCTTTAAGGGGCCGAGTAGGTCTGAATCCTTAAGAAGTCTAGGGCTTGCGGGTCTTAGAGGTTGTTAGTCACTTGTGGGTAGCTTGTGAAAATTGTAATCAGTTTGGTTATAGTGAATTAAGTCCTCGATTGAGTGAGGCGAAATTACCTTGGTGGGTGGACTAGACTAGCTTGGTAATTTTCAAGTGAACTAGTATAAACATACATTGTTCTTTACTTCTTGTTCTTACTTATTGTTATTATCAAGTGTGAAGAAAAAATCATTTTAACTTAAAGGAGAATATTTTTAATAAAATAGTTTTATTTTGAAAACCCAATTCAAACCCCCGTTTTCTTGTGTTTTTCACATCTTCAAGATCCTTTGGTCACAAATGTGGGGGAAGTGCTCGTATATCTAACACTGCATAAATAACTTGATAAACACTAGATAACCAGATACTCAAATAAATTCTAGTATACATGGAATAAGCTCAGAAATAACCAGCTAGGTGTATGGTCTCAGACTGAGAAGAAACTTCAAGTGTTGTGTACATCATGGTCAACATCGCCACTCTCCAAGCCCAACATGGAGTGTCTAGTGTATTGAATAGAGACAAGTAGCGAACATGAATGTGAACATCATAATTGTCTGCAAAGAGAGTACATGCCATCATATGAAACATGTACGCTCTAGAGACGACCTTATATCAATGAGCCTCCATGTGCTCCCCGTATAATTTCCTCAACCAAGACATCCGAAGGTGAAATCCCCGGTTAAAGCCAAAATCCTCTAGAAATATCGCCTAGGATACCTCCAAATCATCCATAAGACCATAACCATGCCCAACACCTTCGACTAGATAATATGAGGAAAAGTGAAGAATGTACCAGCTATAGGGATGTGAAATAAGGCATCAACATCATCCAATGTGATGGTCATCTCCCCAAATGAAAGATGAAAAGATGATGTATCTGGGTGTCACCTCTCAACAAGATTTGATAGAAAGGAGGCGTCGAGGATGGTCAGGGAGCACTGAGCAAACTCCAGTAGATGAAAATCTTTCACAATTCGTCTGACCTCCTCAGGCATGTCACCACCCTCTAAGAAGTTCTTCAACTTCGAAGCATGAGATGAGACCTTCA